GAACAGCTAACTAGTCTACCTTATCCCATACAAGCTATTTTCCATATAACAACCAGTGATTTTTTTAATACAAATAAGATCCTGTCACACTGATAAAAAATCCTCTAATAGCTTCTCATTCCACCTAGAATAAAACTCAAGTTTCCAAATACAGCTCACCAACTTCTGTATAATCCGGCCCCCGACTACCTTTAGAATCTCATCTCATTTCCCTCTCACCCTCTCTCACTACATTCCAACCATGGTAGCCTTGCAGGTTCTTGAATATGTTAAGTTTTACCTTGCATTTGACATGGTATTGGCCTTTTACATCAAATTCCCCAGCTCTTCACAATGAATTATTCTCATCTTTCATAATTCAACTTAAATGTCATTTTCTCAGGCTTTCCTGACCATCATTCTCAATTAGCCCCTCACCGGGTCAGTTTCCCTTCATTTCCTTTCCTTAGAGAGTTAAAATAAGAGAGTTTTATCAACTGAATTATGTATGTCCTAATAGAACAATATGCAACTATTTAAATGAGGTTATCAAAAAGTATTTATATAAAATGGCTCGGCAAGACAATTTTTAAGAATTAGAAAAAATGAATACCAGTTATCACTGACATTCTATAAAGTTGTAATTGTTAAGACAGTATAGAACTGGCACAAGAAAAATGAGCCTGACATATCAGTACAAAAAGTCTAGAAACAGACATAAATTTGATCTAACAAAGGTAGCACTGCAGATCCATAAGCAAAGGATAGCCTTTTCAATAAATGATGCTGAGATAACCAATTATCCATATAGTGGAAGGGGGGGAAATATGTCCCTCTCACAACATTATTTTATAGGGGGGGAAATTTTCTATTTAAAGACCAAAAAAGGAAAAAGGTAAACTTTAAAATCCTTAAAAGATGATTTATAACTTTTGGGTAGGACAGAGTTTCTTGAAATGCTCCCTTTCTCTCTCTTACACACACACACATACACACACACACAGGCACAAACTAAAAAGGAAAATATTCATAAACTAGAGGCCCAGTGCACAAATTCGTGGACCAGTGGGGTTCCCTGACCTGGCCTGCAGGACAGCGCTGAAAGTGGCCCTCCAGCATTCCCCCAAAGGGTCCTGGATTGCAGGAAGGTGCAGGCCAGGCTGAGGGGCCCCTTCATCACAAACATTTTACTGGTGCACCATTGGGGCTGAGGAGAGACATAGGAGGTTGGCCAGCCAGGGGGAGATCGTGGGAGGGCTCCAAGGCATGTCCAGCCTGTCTCACTTAGTCCTGATCAGCCAGGCCCCAGCAGCAAACTAACCAACCAGTTGGAGTGTCTGCCGCCTGGTGGTCAGTGCACATCATAGTAACAGGTCAACCTGTCAACTGTCTGCCCCCCTGGTGGTCAGTGCATATCATAGCGAGTGGTTGAGATGCCTTAGCATATCATTAGCATATTATGCTTTGATTGGTTGAACAGCCTACCAAACAACCAGACACTTAGCATATTAGGCTTTTATTATATAGGATGTGGCTTAATTAAAATAAAATAAAACTCTGGACATCAGTAGCACAAATTAAGAATATAAACCACAGATTGAATGCAGATATTTGTAATACATGTAAGTGCCAAAAGATCAGTATCCAAAATGCTTTAAAAAGTTTTAAAATCTATACAAAAATACAATCACTAAAAAGATGAGCAAAGGATAGTCCCCAAAAAAAGAAATCTGAACTGGCAATAAAGATATAAAAAGGTATTTCATTATACCAGTAATCATAGAAATACAAATTAAAATCATAAGATACTATTTTATACCCATCAACTTGTCAAAAAGTTAAGTCTGACAACACAGAATATTTTTGAGGCTATAAAATAAAGGAAACACTTATTTCTGATGGAAAGAAATTGATACAATCTGACAATATCTAGTAGATAGAACATGCATCTACTCTAAGAACCAGCAATTCTATTCCTAGAACTATATACCCTAGAGAGGTACCTTTCAAGCTCTTTTTTAAGAGACAGAGAAGAAGGGAGAGGAAGAGATAGAAACATTGATGAGAGAGAGAGACGTCATCAATTGGCTGCCTCCTACACACTCCCAACAGGTATGGAGCCCAAAACCTAGGCATGTGCCTTGACTGGGAATAGAACTGGCAACCTCTTGGTTCATTGGGTCAATGCTCAACCACTGATTCATACCAACCAAACCCTCTCACACTTTTTTGATCATCACAAACATATTTTACCTTGTGACCCAATGCACACATACTTATTTAACTGAAACTAACATTCATAAAGCAGAGTTTATTCTTAATATGTGACACATATCCTGATAGTTCCCATTCTTTTTATTAATCTTTTAAATGTTGGAATGACTCACTCACTTGCTTTTAGAACCACTAATGGGTAAACACACCCAGTTCAAAAAACTCTGCTCCAGAAAATATTCTTATATATATCTTCTTGTGCAAAGCTAAGAGGATGTTTATTATGACATCTTTTGTCAAAATAAATTTAGAAAAACATAAAAGTCAATCAGTAGGAGAGTGAATAAAAAATTGAAGGCATATTCATACAGTGGAATTGGATATAACAGCATAAATGGAAGAACTTAAGTATTGATAAAAATAAATATCATGAATTTAAAATACTTAGCAAAACAAGCAAGTTGCAGAAGAATAATATAATATATCATGTGTATGAACCTTTTAAACGTGCAAAACAAGAGTACATTGTTTAGAAACACATTTTTACATAATAAATATATAGCATATAAAGATATGCACAGGGGAAAAGAAAATATATCCCAGGAAAGTACAGAAAAGAGAGTGAAATGAAAAAGCCACATGAACACTTAGAAACTAAATCATTAAAAGTTGCCCCTCTTGCCCAGCTGGCATGGCTCAGGCAGTCATGGTTCGATTCTCGGTCAGGGCACATACCCGGGTTGTAGGCTCCATCCCCAGTGGGGAGTATGCAAGAGGCAGCTAATCAATGATTTTTGTCATCATTGATGTTTCTATCTCTCTCTCCCTCTCATTTCCTCTCTGAAATCAATAAAAATATTTTTTAAAGTTGGCTATCTTAAAATTAAAATTGCCTCCTTTCCAAGCACCAAACTAATAAAGTTTACCTAAACAGTGTGGCTCAGTGGTTGAGCATCGACCTATAAACTAGGAGGTCATGGTTCGATTCTCGTTCAGAGCACATGCCCGGGTTATGGGCTCAGTCCCCAGGAGCACACATGCAGAAGGCAACCAATAAATGATTCTCTCTCATCATTGATGTTTCTATCTCTCTCTCTCCCTCTCCTTTCCTCCCTGAAATCAATATATATATATATATATATATATATATATATATATATATATATATATATATATATATATATTTTTTTTTTTTTTTTTTTTTTTTTTTAAAGGCTCAACTGGACTGTCAAACCTCAGAGGGAAGGTAGGGGAGGGTGGGGTAAGAGGGAGAGGTCAACCAAAGGACTTATATGCATGCATATAAGCCTAACCAATGGACACAGACAACAAGGGCATGAGTGGGGGGGGAGGGGAGGTAATGGGGAGGATGAGGACATGTATGTAATACCTTAATCAATAAAAAAAAATTTTTTAAAGGCTCAACTGCCAGTTAGAAAAAAAAATACAGTCAAATTGAGATCAGTCTTCAAACACACATTTTTTAAAATTTTTCTATTAAGTAATCAAGTACACCGAGTATCTATTTTTAACTAAGTAATGAAATCCAGAACATGGACAAAAAAATGCAACAGGTACTTGTGGGTGGATGAGATGTCACAGCAGATGCCCTAAATACAGCCATGTGCCAACAAGGTTGAGTCACTGTGAAATGCTGAAAAAAGATATTAAGGCTCAGCTGCCACCGGTTGCAGTGAGCCCTCCCTGCTTTCCTCTCTGTTATATTTGCCAGGCATCATTCCAGAATGCTAAATACTCAGACATCTTCAAGAATAGTAAATCACTAAAAATGACAAAATGTGGCATCTTACAAATAGCATATGCTTATGATCAAATTAATACAGCAGATAGCTAATAAACATTCAGTAGGCTCATGGAATAGTTCCCTAAAATTAAAATAGCCCTTCTAGGTCTCAATATATATGATACCCAGAAGATTAAACCCAATGCTGTAATACCCTTTGCTGTAATTTCAAAAATGTCAATCCACTTGTCAGAGAATGTCATTTAAAAGGATTATGTGTAACAGAATTTAAGCAATAAACTACTAGACCAATAAGCATGCCTCGAAGCCTCAAGTTCAAACCACTCTGATCCCCAAACCAAGCAACTACTCTAGGAAAACATCTCACCCATTCATTCAGTCAACCCTTACTTATTATACCATGTGTCAAAGGTACCTCAGTAGACCTTAAGGAAGTATCATGGTGATTTTCTATAAAATTTTTGCAAATTTTCTGTAAATCTAAATTTATTTCAAATAAAAAGTTGAGTATTTTTTTTTTTTTCTTTTTTTTTTTTCTTTTTTTTTTTTTTTTTTTTTTTTTTTCTTTTCTAAAAGTTGAGTATTTTTAATGTAACTTCTGTAGGCATGAGATCTTACCATGTCAATCATGTTATGAAAATGACTCATCTGGGCTAGCTATTATAATTTTCTTATTAGGAGAGATTATTCAATGATGTCAAATTCAGAATTTCAAAACCCAACTCTTGCAGTGCATACTGAATTACAGAAGACATAACTAGAAAACGAGTCAGTGACTGAAAAGTACACTTGCGAAACACGACATGGTACTCTGTTAATAAAGATATACACTCCCAAAAAGACATAAAGCAATGATCATAAAACAATGGCCCACAACACAAATAAAACAACTGAAAACATAAAATGTCAAGAACTGGACAAAAATCAACTGAATCCATATGCGATTAAATTATGACTTGATGAATGTCTGTGGCCAATTTTTATGACTCTGGCAAAAGGAGGCTTTTCGGTAGGTAAAAGTTGGATTGGTTGAGTTACGTACCCAGATTTCAAGTCAGTTATCCTCAAACAGTTTGTAGCATCCAGTCCCACTTTTCCATTGCGGACCACACTAGATATAAATGGGGACAGCATTGGAGAAATTCGGTTCAAGGCCACTTCTGGGGACATTTTAACTTGACTTGCAAATCACCACTGAAAGCAGAAGGAAAGAATGGTGATCAGAATATCCAAAGAACTACATACACCAAGCTTCCTGAAAACCGGCATAGCACACAGAAGTTTCTGTTGCATGAATAAATACCTCCTTTTCCTGTCTTAAGCTGCCTTTCCCAATGAAATCATCTCCCTGCTACTCACCTACTTAGGACATAGACTACACTGCTTTTCAGGAACAGAGGCAATCCTTGAAATCCAATTCCCTCCTCCTTTCCAAAATTGACTTCTACAGTGCTGCATTCCACTTAAAGCTGTCCCATTCCGCTTACAACTGGCTGTTTCTTCCTTAGGTGAGGCCTTAAGAAGCCTTCACTCCCTCTAACATACAAAACTCACATACCTCTAGGCTAGGAATCCTCGCTTTGTAAGAACTTAGCTGATAATACTACATAAAGACCTAGAACAAGCATAACCTACTTGCAAGTCACTTATTAGAAATTATTTTTTTCTGATATACTTCTCTACATAATTTTCATTAACTGTTACTGCACAGTATATTATAATATAACCCCTGGAGAGAGATCACAAACTAAACACCTCATAAACATTTTTAAATAAGTAAATTAAGTAAGGAGACAAAAGCTAGAGAAATAATTCAGGTATATAGAGAAAATAATATGCCCTCAAAAACTTGGTAGAGGATAGCATATCTAAGGAATAGATGTAGCAAAAATCTACTTAACAATTAAATCATGAAAACATATACCTGTCCAGATATTCAGCAACACAAACTAACATGGATCTAAAAGTCTTTGACTGTAAGGCGCTAAGAAGTCCTTAAACTTGAAAATACAATAAATCATATCTAAACTACTTGGAAACCCATGGAGCTGGGGGAGGGAGTACATGAGTTCCTCTTAATAGATTTCTAAATGAAAGCCTCTCCTTTCAGAGGTGAATAAGTCAACTTAAATGATCACTGTCTTTTTCAATCTGAAAGGATAATCTCACATCTGAAGCAATTATGCACCTGCAAGTTACAAGTAAATGATGTTTTGCTTCTAGTTTTCATATATGAAAACATGAGGACTTAAGTGACCCTAAATAAAATAAATGTTGGAAACTAGTACTTGTTTTAATAACTTCAGACAATAATAAAGAACTACAGTGATCTTTCAAAACATAATAATACTGTGACCCTTCTGGGTGATGACACTCAGAAGTATCTTGGGCATGTACCTTGGCTGCAGGCTCCTCCTCAGCCCAGGCCCTGGTCAGGGTGCGTACAGGAGGCAACCAATCAATGTGTTTTTGAGATTTCCCTCTGTCTTTCCTTATCTCTTCCACTCTCTCTAAAAATCAATGGGAAAAATATCCTATGGTGAGAATTTGAAGGGAAAAAAAAAAAAGAGCTTCCATATACATTATTGCAATTGATCTTCATACCCCTAGGTAGTAGGGAATTCCCATTTTAAAGATAATACAGATAACTTTTATGATGCCTTTGAAAAGTATGCTAATCCATATTATCATTTTGAAACCTATTTTTTCTATTCTGCAATGTTTCCACTTTTTTTTCTAACCACTGATGTCACAGTTCTTGAAAGGATGATTACCTAAATCATATGCAAATACAAAAACATTTATCTAGGAAAAAAACTGAAGGACCTCACCTACATTACAAAATTATTCTTCCTCTCCCAGGTCTGTGTTTCTTAGTGATTAGAGGTCAGCCTGAGAACTGAAGGGTCTCAGGAAGGGTCTCAGGTTTGATTCCCGGTGAAGGGCATGTACCTGGGTTGCAGGTTCATCTCCAGCCTCTGGTGAGTGCATGCAGGAGGCAACCAATCGATGTGTCTCTCTTACATTGATGCTTCTCTCTCCCCAACCCTCCCATTCCCTTCCACTCTCTTTGAAAATCAATGAGGGGAAAATATCCTTCCTTGTTTTTCCATAATTTTAATTATGGGAAATATCTATTATAATTGTATCTCTCATTTCTATGAAAAAGGAAAATATAACATTCTGAACATCTCTTCATTATCAAGCACTGTACTACCCACTTCAATTTGTAATTTCATTTACTTCCCCTGAACAACCCTGTCCTCTGTTTAATATTAGTTTCCACTTCATAGATAAGAAAACTAATACTCAGCAAGACTACCTAACTTGTTCAAATTCCCCAACCTAGCAAGCAGAAGGATCAGAATTCAAATCCAGATCCCCTTCAAAATCCACTATTCTCATTTTCCTCTCAAATAAACATAACTTCAATCACCAAAGAGAAAAGCATCAAAGTGATTTTTTTTAAGTATACAGCTTGTAAAATTTGGAGAAAATGGCATGAATTTAGACTCATGGTTGCTTTACAACTAGGAACAACTACTATAGGCCTACTGCTGAAATTGGCCTGACTGCACCAATCAAATGCTAAAGGGAGAAGAGATAAACCAAATAATTTATATACTTATACGCATAGCCCATGCACACAGGCAAAATGGTAGTGAAGACCTGAGAGGGAGGATTGGGGGGGAAGGGGGTGCGCTGGAGATATCTGTAATATTACCAATAAAAATATTTTTAAAATGAAAAAAAAATGCTAAAGGGAAGCCAAATTATACTTAAGGTGACAACAACCCATTTCATTTCAGCAACTGTCATGACCTTAGGATGACACCTGAAGGAATGAATTTGTCTTTGTTTCCAGAACAGCCAAAATACTATTTTTTGACAGTTCAAGATTTCATGCAGTGCTAAAATCTGTTTCAAGCGTGAGGTGCTGTGGCTCCTCCAAAGGAGAGAGGGAAATACTCCAAAATCAGAGGCTACAGAATGGTGATGGTCTTTTGGTGCAGTCCTTTGGAGCCAGGGGCATGGCTGTAGGAATCACCCCCGGGAGCAGCTTTTACACATCTCAGCATTGTAACAAACAGAACGCAGGCAGGCAACACTTTACGGTGGCCAGCCTCCCTTGAATGCTAGTTAGGCAATTTGTATTTCCTGATTTTGACATGTTACAGAAGGAAAATGCAGAAATACAATTTTGACAGGTGCCTGCGGCCTCCAACTAAGGTCACGTAAGGTCCTTTGATCGGCCACCTGGGGACCACAAAGACGTCTAAAGCGCTGTCCAGTTTCTTGCAATTAAGATGGGATGACGAACACGGAAACATGTGCCCTGCTGACGTCATGGAACGGAAAGGGGTAGCGTCCAGCTGCGTCACGTTCACGTCATAGGGCGCACAAGGGAAGTTAACACGGGGGGAAGTCATTTCTCTGAGAAAAACAAGCCAGCTACGACCCAAAGAATGATCACCCCCATGGAGAAGACATTTCAAAGGGGGCACTCTCCCTTCTCCCAAACCTTATGATCCCCTCATCACGCGGGAAAAGAAGAAGCAATCGGGTTCACCGGGGGCCAGGAACGGGATAGATGAGAAGGAATAACCCTGGCCTTGGGGATCCCGTTCTTGAGGGACCAGCGGGATGGGGATGAGCAGGGCATCTTTGGAGCCGGGCCTTCTCCACGGGAAAGGGGAGGCGAGCTCTGGGCACGGTCCTCAGCGCAGCCTGTGCGGCTCAGGACCCAACCTTCCCACACCAGCCCCAGCCTAGGTACCTGGAACTTAGTCCGTTCGGTAACCGGCGACTACGTGGGGTACAGGTTCCCCGAGCGCGCGCCCCCGACCGACGCGCCGAGCTGCGCGCGCACCGCGGGGCCTACGGCGTGCTCGTCCCCGGATGTCCGCGTGCTCGTCCCCGGATGTCCGCCCCGCCCCGCCCCTTCGGCGGCCCGGCCGGGAAGCGCGCGCGCCCCGAGCCGGGCTCCCCGAGAGGCGTCCCCGCGGTGCCTGAAAGTTCCCTCTTCGGCGCTTTCCTAGGCCGCAGCGAGCAGCGCGGGTCGGGAACTGTCCGCGGGGCCTCCTGCGGGAGGCGGTGCGGGAAGACCATTCCTGGAAGCGCCGGGGGCGGCTGGGGGGCGGGGTTGTTTCGGGCATTCAGGTGGGCGACCCGCCTAGGCATCTGGAAGGCCCGGGTAGCTAGGGAGGGTCGGGGCGGCGTCTCTGGCAACGGGGTGGTCGGGCAAAGGGTAAAGGGCAGCTTCCCGGTTGGAGAGCACCGCGTTTGAGAGCCATGGCCGCGTCTGGGGAGCCGGGGCGGCAGAGGCAGGAGGAGGCGGCGGCCGTGGTAGTGGTGGGCTCCTGCATGACCGACCTGGTCAGGTTTGTCTGGGGCCAGAGTGCGACTGGCGGGAGGGAGTGTGCTCTTCTCTGCGGATGCCCTGGGGCTGCTGAGGATGAACAGTGGCAGCTTTTGGTGTGAGCTGCAGGCTCCCCCCAGCCTGCAGTGTGCCCGATGGGGTGCAGGAGGTAGGATACGTTTGTCAGGTGAGGGGACAGTGTGGCCAGGGCGTAGTATACGCGCGAATGGTACCAAGAGCGCCTCCAAAGCTCTCATCCTGTTTTCCTGACCAGGCTGCTGAGCCTCCCCCCTTCGTGGCCCAAGTCATTTTACCCCCAAGAATGTGATGTGCCTGCCTCTAAAGGAAGTAAAGGATTTTGGTCCGGAACACTATCCAAGTTGGGTATTCCTGTCTGAACTTGTATAAAATGAGTGGAGCCAGAGGTCAAAGATCAGCCACCTTCAACCATATTGATGGTTGGCATCCCTGCAGTATTTCCTATTTACAACTTTTTTTTTTAATATATTTTATTGATTTTGTACAGAGGAAGGGAGAGGGATAGAGATTAGAAACATTGATGAGAGAGAGTCATCGATCAGTTGCCTCTTGCACACCCCCTACTGGGGATATACCCGCAACCAAGGTACATGCCCTTGACCGGAATCGAACCCGGGTCCCTTCAGTCCCCAAGCCGACGCTCT